CGTAGAGACCTCACCAGACCTCACCTGAAAGGGTGGTTTATTGGGTTTAGGGTTTAGGGGGTTTAGGGTTTAGGGGGCATAGGAAAAACCACGAAATGGTTGAATGTACTTTAAACTGGATTTGGGGCAGGTTTAGGGCTCAGGACATTTCACAAGATAATCCCTACGAAGATCCTTCATAACGATCCCCTTGGAATTCCCCGCATGCCCCAAGGGTTCCCTCGAATACCACTGCTTTATCAAACTTACAGATGGCCAGTTCAAGGGACAGCCTGTTGATTCTAAACCTGAAATCCCAAACCCAAATTCTGAAATCCTAAATCCTAAGCCCCAATTGTGCTTGTGCCGGGCCACACCAACGCTACCTCAAGACACCTCTTCCAAAAATGCAGCCTACAGAAGCCCTAGATCACCCTGTGCTGGCCTTTAGTGCTAGGGCAATTTCAGGCGGATAGCTTCTTTGATCTACGCCTTACACAGACGTACCTCTTAATCATCCCTTAAACGCTTTATACAGGCCTTGTCAGGTTTAGGATTTCGGGTGTAGGGTCTAGAGTTAAATACCATGGCTTCGGGTTGGGGGTGTCAGTTTGAGTTCTAATTTGTAAATTTTAGGTTTTTTGAGATTAAGGAAATTTGAGAGCAATTTGAGAGTTTTGAGTGATGGTAAGTTTATATTCGCTTTAGGGTTAAGGGTTTAGGATTAGGGGTTTAGGATTTAGGGTTTAAGGTTTTGCTGACCGGCAGGCAGGAGTCAGGGGCGTCCTCTAGAGTCACTTCCCAGAAAAAAAGGGTTTAGGGTTTAGGGCTTGGGATTTGGGGGCTGAGGGTTCGGGGTTTAGGGTTCAGGGTTTTGGAGCTATGGGCTGAACTCCTTAAAGGGGATTGGTAGGAGATTGAAAGGAGTTTAGTTCATTTCGGGTTCAGGCTTCCGGGTTTAAGGTTCAGGTCCCATGAAGGTAGATCTGTAATTTAGGGTAAGAATAAATGGAGATCTGGCATTTCCTTGTTTTGTCGCGGGCGGTCAGCAGGACCTGAACATGGAAACTCCGTACTCGGGGGTGACTGTAGCGGCTGCACTGGGGGCTGTCCCGGACGCGAACACAAGGAAAGAACATAGAAATTGCCGCTTACTTTCGGGCCCGGAGTTTAGGGTTCAGGTCAAGAGCTGTCATGGCGATCGTTATGTCAACTCCGACTGCGAAGGGTTGCTCTTCCAAGTGAGCATTTCCGACAGAATTGCCCAAAGTTCGAGCCCAGAGAGATGTCCAGGATATTTGAGCATGTTCAGCTGGAATTTTCCTTAGGTGATGCGACCGGAGTGTTTGCTAGCGATTTCGTCCCATGTTGTTACCCGTCTATGTTCTACGTGGCGCGAATGTTTCGTAATATGCCCGCGTGGCTAGACGTATTCAGCCTGCAGCCTTTTAATGCGGTTGTTGCCACCAGTTTTCAGAGTTTGCTGAAAAGGTCCAGACCATGAGGGAAGCCTGGGGGTTCCCATTCAGTGGCACAAGTTTTCATGCTGGAGAGCGAACACTGAACACAGGCCAATTTTTATGATATGACAGGCAGCAGATGATGATGAATCCAGAAGTGCTCCAACATTTAGTGCCGGACCTAGCCTCATCAACAAGCTTGGCTGGATTGTTGTTGCGCATGTTTTGGCTTGCTTGGTTGCTGGGGGGGGGGGCGGGGCGGCCCAAAAATTGGCCGACCAGGCTCAGCAGCATGCAATGGCTGGAGAGGCGCCGTCAGCAATTTCTAATTGTTCCCTTCACAGTGTTTCCCACATGTTTGCAAAAGGAAACAAGCTGTGGCGCTTCATATGTCACCTAGGTTGCCGGTGTGTTTGATTACTTGCAGGAACGTTTTAGTTCCTTCCCTCAGTTTTGTCGCAAGCTGCCGTGATCTTTTTGACGAGACCATGTTGCTAACGCGGCAATTCCGTTGCTGCAGGCTTTAGATTCCCGAGCACAGCTTCGTCAAGTACGCGCACTCATTTGTTCTGCAACAATGGCAACCAAAGTTGACGATCAATTATGTTCGAAAAATCTTGACAGTTTATTTGTTGAGCATGATGATGTTGTGTCGCATTTTTCGGCAGATAGTTTATTCATCAGTTTCAAGCTTCAATTTTCTGAGGACTTGAATGCAGCCGGGAACTGAGTTTTTTTGAGAAAGTTTTACTGTGTTTGTAGCCTCATCATCTGTTCACGTTCGGGCTTGTACTGAGGACCCTCAAGCCGTCGCAGAAGCGCTGAGAAGTACGAGCTTCAGCATGCGTGATGCATTTTGACAAAGTGCTTGTTACGCAAGCGTCTACACCACCCTTCATTTGTCCACCTGAATTGCATAGACCTTGGATCAGCTCTTTACAGCTACTCCAAAAAGCATAATTAAGAATTATATGTGCAGCCACTCTAAGGAAAGTTTTTTTGGGAGGGGAATGGCCCAGCATAGAATATTAGAATATACACTTATGATATAATCTTGATCAACATGCCTAGCCTAAACCCTACACCCTAAACCCTAAACCCTACCCTAAAGGGACCCTGCATGCCTGTGGTACAGGTCAGATGGCCAGATGAGATGGTCGCAACGCCCCCAGTTTTGTCGCGCACTGCTCGGGATGATCGGGATAAACCCTTTAGGGACGGTTTCATATAAACACTATATAAGGGTATATAGGAACATATAAGGATATGTGGGAGCCAGGGTTTCCAAGAATCAGGAACACTTTGTTTCAGATGTGCTTGCAGTAGAGGCTGTCATGAACATCATGTATATTGTGGACTCTGATTTCCGGGAAATCACACCCATTAAGGTTGAAAAAGGCTATGAAATCCTCGCGTTTTTACACCCGAAGTCGCCCCACGTGTGGCGTTCATCCCCACATCGAGGAAGGTTTCATCCGAGAGCCATGCTGAACAGGCACCTGCACCATACATTCAGCCAAGCTATATAGGGGGTATATAGGGGTTATATTGGGGTTATATTGGGATAATGGAGAAGAAAATGGAAACTACTATATTGTAATTGGGGTTATATTGGGGTTATATTGGGATAATGGAAAATAAAATGGAAACTACTATATTGTAATTGGGGTTATATTGGGATAATGGAGAAGAATATGGAAACTACTAGATTGTAATTGGGTTTATATTGGGGTTATATTGGGATAATGGAGAAAAATGGAAACTACTGTATTGTAATAGGGTTTATATTGGGGTTATATTGGGATAATGGAGAAGAAAATGGAAACTACTATATTGTAATAGGGTTTATATTGGGGTTGTATTGGGATAATGTAGAAGAAAATGGAAACTACTATATTGTAATTGGGTTTATATTGGGGTTATATTGGGATAATGGAGAAGAAAATGGAAATTACTATATATACATATATGAATGGTTTCGACGTTAGCAGCCTCTCCTCCTCGCATGTCTGTTTGCAGTGTAATGCTGCTTCTTGAATGTTCTTCTCGGTATATGTGTGGTCATAGTTGGCGTTCGCAAGGTTTGTCCCTATCAGTTGTTGACTGACCTGTTTCTTGCACGCGGATGGAGCGCCTCGGCACCCCCGATGGCAGCGTGGTCTTCATTGAGATGTGCCAGATGTGGGGGCAGCAATGATTTTGCGTCGTCATCCCATAATTCCCCATGCCGAGGCTGGAGGCGAGGTTTCCCGCACTTTGCCATGGAGCCGTCGAAATGCTTTGATCACCTTCCCTGGAAGAATGAGGTTTAGGGTTCATGTCTTAGGTTTACCTTTTGGGGCTCGAGGTGTAGTTGCAATCAAGCCCGTGGCCCCACAATTTGGCCAACATTTAGACTGTATGAGCTTTTTATGGGAAAGGTTGATAGTTTTCATTGTTGAAGAGAGACGAGCTTCATTCCAGGGGACGGGTCCATTGTAGGTTCAGCGTGAGATGTAGGTGAAACACGCCCGACAAAAAGGCGCGAGCCCCTGCTTTCCTCTGCGAGTGAGGGAAGGAAGCTATTAGGGTTTAGGGTTTTAGAGCCTAGGGTTTATAGTCCCCCCTTAAGTAGATAGAATATGGCTTTGGGTACATTATGATAAGATCCCCATATACCCCATCTTCTATCTACTTACGGGGGACTATAGGGTAATGCACATTGTCAGGGTCAGGCTTTGGGGCTTGCAAATAGTGAAAATAGCGAGCGTGATTCGTACTTATGATCATCACTACAGCAGTTGCTGCAGGAGTACTGCAACTGTCATGGCAACCCCAGACCCTAATCCCCGAAACCCCAATCGCCAAACTCTGGGGTTGTGGATATTGGCTCCACGGCATGCCTGTTACTTTGTGCTTTGGGTGTTTGTGTTGATTCTTTCTTCTTTCAGATCATGGTTGGGCATGAAATAATCAATAAGGACCCCAGAAACCCTAAACCCTGAACCCTATTATATTCTCCACATATCCTTGGATTCCTAGAGTCCTTGACGTTATGCAACCCTGGGTCGAGGGACAGACTCGCAACCCATGGATTCCAATGTGCTCATCCCTGCCGCTAGTTCAGCCCTGAACCCTAAACCCTAAACCCTGTTTTTGGTGGCTTCGGTCAAAAAGATGGGCGGGTAAGAGCACGAAAGCCCTAAACAACCTTCAGCCCTGGCGCCAGACCCTCAATGCCTCAAGTTTGGACCAGAACGAACCCTAAACCCTAAATCCTGCATCCTTCAACATCCTGAGTGTGACCCTCAAGCCCTGAAACCCAATTCTTGGATCTCAAGTCCTGAGCCGTAAGCCCTGAACCCCGCTGAACTCCGCTAAGCCCGAAACCCTCAACGCTTAAACCCAGAACCCTGAACCCAAAACCCCCAAAGTCAAAAACCCAAACCCTAAACCCCCCAAACCTCGAGCCTGAACCCAAAAACCCTACACCCTGAACTCTAAACCCTGAACTCTAAACCGTGCGGCTCACAGACTGCCTCTGTTGCACAGCCTTAGTCGCGCAAAGAGAACCTCAAGGTCATGGCTGAGCCTGCGGCTAAGAAGCAGCGGCTCGATCGGATGTAGGGCTAGGGATTTAGGGATTTAGGGTTTAGAGTTTAGGGTTTAGGTTTTGGGGGCTTAGGGTTTAGAGTTCAGGGTTTGGGGTGCAGGGTTTAGGGTCCGGCATTTGTTTTTTTTGCTGTAGGGGTCTTGAAGGGTGTAGGGTCTTTCATTTTGGGGTACAGGTTATGTTGTAGGGTATGTTGTTGGTATATATGGTATATAGCGTATATCAAGTACTTAAGGTATGTGGAGTATTTGGGGTAAATAGGTTTGGGTAGGTAAGGTATATAGGGTGTACTGGGTATGTAGGGTATATGGGTTCCCTGAACCCTAAACCCTAAACCCTAAGGCTTAGGGTCTGCAAGGTACTTCTCGGGCATTTGGGGGAATGTGGATTTAGTGCTTAGGGTTTGGGATTTAAGTTTTGGGTTACTAGAAGCCGTTAGGAGCAGTCTCAACAAAAAGTTATATAGGAACCATTTAGAGAAGCGCCCAAATAGGTTTAGGAAGTATGATTTCGAGCGTAGGCTGTAGGCTTCAAGATTGAGGCTTTAGTTGCGTAGAGTACAGAATTTTGGGCGAAGGGTTTCAGATCGAGGCTTAGGTCTTAGGATGCAGACCCTAAACCCTAAACCCCAAACAGGGGTTATGTGCTGGAAAGTTTAGGCTCAAGTTTCTTGTTGGTTCGGAATGCGTTTCAATCTCAAAATTTTGTCTTAATCCAAACCTTGATACCGAACCCACCGATTTCTCTTACTGCTGGATAAGAAGACCTATTCAAAACAATTTTGGGGCATTCGACCTAAGTGTAGAATTCTGGGCCCAAGAAACCTCTGATTTTCATGACAGGGTTATACGGACCCTTGTAGGTATATGTGGAGTATATATTAGGTGCGTAGCTCTAGGTGCCCATGATTTTGATTTTCGATTCCAGTGCAATTTGGCAAGCCTGAATCCTTTTAGGCTAGTTTCCTACATTCCAAACCTCGAAAGCCTGAACACTTAAGTCCTCAACCCTTTCAGCCTTTTTTTCTGAAGAGCCAACGAGTTCCAGGAAGATCGAGGAGGAGGCGACCGAAGCCGCGCCCGAAAAGGCCGACGAGCCCGAAGTGGAGCAGGCCAGTTACGGAAAAGCCGGCATCTAATGGAATTGAAAATGGGTTTAGGGTTTAGAGTTTAGGGTTGGAAGCTGCTACATTATTCAGGGTTTTGGGGTTTAGCCTAGGTCAGGGAAACCCAAGTGAGCTGGGACAAAGACCCAGGTCATGACAGCTCATATAGATCTGACGAAATTTATAAGCATGATATGGATAACCCTCATGTTTTGGAATAACCTACCTAAGAAGCAGGATGGGGGTCTTCTGAGCAGGTCGGGTTGGGGTCTTGGAAAATTGAGCTTTGGGGTTGGGTCCAAGGATTCAGTGGTATAATATTCTAGTTCCTATTCCCCCTATAGACTCGGTTTAGAGGGTTTAGGGTTTAGGGTTAAACCCTAGACCCTAAACCCAAAACCCTAAACCCTAAACAAACCCCTGGGGTTTGGGGGCAAATCAGGAGAAAGATGCCGTGGACTCCAAGGGTGTCAAGCTGAAGGAGAAGGCTGCTGGCTGCATGCGGATTAGGGCTTTTCAGGGATTTAGGGGTTTTGGGATTTAGGGAGTTTGGGCTTTAGGGATTTAGGAATTTAGGGATTTTGGGCTTTTGGGCTTTAGGGACTTACAAAGAGATTTTGGGCTTTGGGGATTAAGGGCTTTAGGGATGTAGAGCTTTCGGGATTTAGGGATTTAGAATTTAGGGGTTGGATTGGGCTTTATGTTGGGTCCCTAAACCCTAAACCCTAAACCGCTGGGTACTGCCAGTCTGACTCCAAATGCGGTCCAAGCGTAGTAGAGCCTGACTCCGGTTTTCCTGGACGGAGGTTTCTGCTGGTTTACGGTTTAGGGTTTAGGGATTAATAATGATTAGGGTTAGGATTTAGGGTTTAGGCTTTAGGGTTTAGGATGACAGTTGGACATTACTTATAACAGTTATATTATATAGAGCCCTGCATACTACTCCCATTATAGACTGTCATTGGGTGGGGGCAGTAACCAAGCTTTAGGGTTCAACCTGTTGAGCTAGGGTAGCTAGGGTTCAATGTTTTCTTGTAGCACTTTGGACGTACCACTTTGTTGTTGACGATCCCTAAACCCTAAACCCTAAACAGTATTACTTTACCGCAAAGCTGTAGAGGCTCCCCAGCACAAACATATTCCCAAACCCCGCGCTTGAAACCAACTACAAAATCCTGAGCTTAAGAATCCATGCTCCTCATAGAACCCCAACCTGAAACATCAAACTCTGTACTGCAGATATTAAGCTCTGTATTTCAGATTTTAAGCACTGTATTCCAGATATGAAGCCCTGTATTTCAGATGCCCAAATTGCGGAAGCCCAGGTTACGTTTCTCACGGCAGACACCACTTTGAACGTCGTCGTGTCATCCAACAGCAATTTGCTCCTGCCCCTGTCGGACGGCGGGATCCGTCACCTTCTAGCAGGCGCCCTGTTTAAGGGGTCAGGTTTAGGGCCCGTTTAGGGTCAAGGGTTTAGGGCTTTAGGGTTTCGGGTTCAGCGTTTGGGGTTTAGGGATATTGCCCACACAGTGGGGATTCAAGCCGAAAGAATGGAAGATGAACTGGAAGCTGGGATCACACATAGTACGTACTGGATGATAGGATTTAGGGAAACCAAGGTAGTTCCTGCAAATTAGCACCATATGCAACACTCGTTTGCGTAATTTGCTTACCTAGGCTTAGGCTGTTTAAGGTTTAGGATGTAACGGCGGAGGTTTGGCGATCGTCGGACGTTGACCCCTGGGAATTTCCACGCTGGTACGGAGATTCCACTCACAAGGTTTACAATATTTTGCAGTACTGATTTGCAGGAGGTAGCCTTTCTCTTTCCCGTTGCGGGGCTGTGCAAGCTATGGTTGGTTGTCACAATTATAGTTTTTCGGGATCCCTATTATAATACTGAGGCTCGAATATTCAGTCCCCATAGGGCGGTTTCTCAAAAAACAATTGTGCAATCCTTTATCCGGAGTCCCTAGCCCTAAACACGATGCCCTTGGTCTGCCAAACAGGAGGGTAATTAATGTCCCATGAGCAAACCCTCTATTCTGAACCCTCAAATGGCCGATGGGGATGTCAATAAGATCACCCGGATTTCAGGGGTGCCCTTCCCGAACCCCCTTGGGTCCCAACCTCCAGATTCCCACTTTAGGAGAGATAGGGATTAGCAGTAAGAAGAAGGTTTTGGTAGCCGCTGGTAGCCGCAACGCCAAAATTGGGACCCTCTAGCCTACAATGGCTTTCATGTGATGATCATCAGCTCCTATTTTTGGGGGTCAAGGTTACCCCCATCCGTTTATCAATCAGGAGTACCGCTGTAGCTTCAACCCTAAAACCTCCATGCATGTATGGGGATTACAGAGCCATGCTGTTGGTGGGCAAATTTCCATTGATCCTAAGCCTAAGCCCTACGCGTTGAGAGGTGCCAGAACCAACGTCGGGCTCAAAAGCGGTCGCTACATGTTCGAGGCCAAGATGGTGGAGCAGGTTGCCAGGGCCGACGAGGGCAACAAGCCGCAGCCCAAGAAGCTCGGCGAAGGGGTTTAGGGTTTAGGGGCTCCAGGGTTAGGGTTTAGGGGTTTAGGGTTAGGGTTTAGGGCTGAGGGTTCGGGTTTGAAGCTTAGATCGCCGCACCATGAACTGACACGGAATGGAGGAATGGAGAAGGACGGTGTATCCAAGCTTGGGCACGTACGCTATTGATACGGGCCCTGAACCCCAATCCGTACACTGCAAAAAACTAAACTCCGTACCCTCTTTGCCAGCGAAAGGCCCCATGTGGTAGATGGTGCTAGCGATCCTGCGTGATCCCAAGTAACCTAAATATCTTACGCTACACACCGTGGAATTTGTGGAATACAATAGGCCAGGCAGCCCATTAGGATCAAAGAAGAGTTCAATTTTATGTCCATTTCTGTCCATTTGATTTTCCAGTATCGGGTTAAGAATCTTCTCAACTCTAATTTGCCCAGGGCTCAACAAAAACACGCCCCAACAATTTGAGGCATATCTAACTGTAGTACACCGCAGCCCCAAACCCTCTTCAACTTCAGCAAGCCCTACATCAATCCTGTCGCCGCTGTAGGGCCTGAAACAGTAATCAGTACCGTGTTCCTAGAGTGCTCGTATATACCCTAAACCCTAAACCCTAAACCCTATAGTAGGGTCCCTGGACTACACGGGAAACTGAGTTAGGTCATCCCTAGAGCCCTTACCATAAACCCTCCACCATACAATGGGGGTTCCCCAAAATTGGGGGTTCCTTTTTGGAGGTTCCAATATTAAGGATTGTAGTATTTTTGGGGTCTATATTGGGGTCCCCCTATTTTGGGAAATTACCACATCTAGACCCTAAGCCGCAAGCAGTAAGCCATAAACGTTCCTCGAAACATCCCTAAGCCATAAACTAAACCCTAAACCCTAAACCCTAAACCGCTGTAAACCCTAAGTCTTAGACTCTAGGCATGTGCTGCGCATTGGCTTTTCCACTGCCAGCTCGACTCCAGTAATGGGCAGCGATGACACTAACGTCTGTTTCTGGGTCTTTTTGAACGTGGTTGGGGTTTACTGAGTTTTTTGTTAAGGATTTCAGGGCAAGGGTAGGGTTGAGGGTTTTCAGATTCAGGGTTTAGGGCCGCGGGTTAACGTTTGAGGAATTCATATGCGATATGGCAGGTTCCCGTTTTCTGGTCCTGGTATTGCACAGTTTTCTGCTTTTTGGGAAACAGTGTTACCGTGATTTCTTGAAACAACCCTCCAGACGAAAAGCCTAAACTTGCGGAATGTTGGGCCCACTGTAGATATCCTTGTCATGAGAACCCAGTGACGCCAGGGCATGCAACAGACCTAACAGCTATTTATGCACATTCTATGCTGAGGGCTGTGCACTTCATGGGTATTCAGACGATCGTAGAATTGAACCTCAGTTACATCCTGAACCCAACATTTTGAACCCTAGACCCTAAATTGTAGGCAAATTGTATAGGGCAACAGGTACAAGCAAAAACTTGGTGTCGAAATTCGCTACAAAATCACTACCTGAACCTATACAAGTTGTACAAAACCTGAACCCCAAAAGGGCGTTTTTGGAGTTTATCCAGTGTTGTCGTTGTGAACTAAAGGACCTGCCGAGAGTCGAGAAGATGACAAAAGAAGCACCTCACACTCAAACCTAACCCCTGAACCCTCAATTGGTAGCTTCCGTTTTCTTTTCCGTTATCCCAATATAACCCGCAATATATCCCCCATACAACCCCAATATATATCCTATTGTATTATCGGAGTTTCCATTTTCTTTTCCAGAATCCCGATATAGCCCCTATAGCCCCCAAAGCTCCAGACTCCAGACTCCCAACCCCGAAGATCCTGAGCTTGAAATCAAGCCCCAAAACCTTAATACAACCTCAAAAATCGGCCCAAGTGCCAGAACTTCTTGGGATGTATGGGGATAGATAGGGTTTAGGGTCCAAGTCTTTAATCTCCCACCCCTAAGTGCAAAATCCAGGTTTTGACATGGAGGGCGTGCTCCTTCACAACAAGGAGCTTGTGATGCTGTGGGGTCAAGGGTCCAGGGCTTTAGGTGTGAGGGTTTAGGAGGTACGCCAGCATATGAACTCCGAAGCCTAAACTTGGACCCAGAAGGTTTAAGCGAACTGTCAAAAGGTTGAATTGGAGTCTAGGAAGGGTGTGTGAAAGGTCAACTCGGGCTTTGTCGGTCCACCTGGAGTTTGGGGATTTCCATAAACAGGGAACCGCAAAATGGACCCCATTATGCTGTCTAATCATCCGCATGCTAGCTACCACCAAAAAGGTAAAAACCTCCGGGTGCTTTTAGGCCTCCAGCTAATCCTCATGAAGCTCAGCTACCTAAACCCTAAACCCTAAACCCTAAACTTCCTCTTCAGGAGCGGACACCGCTGGGGGTCGGCGCCAGATACGGCAAAGGAAGCATCCTAGCCGTGGTGCTGAACCTAGATCATGTTTAGGGTTTAGGGTTTAGGGTTTAGGGTAATGATGGAATGGAAAAGAACATGGAAACTACCATAATGGGTTATATAGGGACCACTCTATAAGGAGCAGCATTGTTTTGCTTTCTATCTCTCGCCGTGTTTTTCCTGTTTTTCTTTCTGATTTAGTGAAGCTCCTGTTAGGAAGGCGTAGTCAGTTTGGAGGTTGACTCTGGAAGAATCTTGCCGATAATTAACCTGCATGAGATCCTTCTAAGGCCCTAGAAGCCCCACAGGTTCCGCGGCAAGCAACATAGTCTATGGCCAAAATCCCTATCAAGACCCCAATTCTATCAACCTACAAGCCCTCAGCCGTAACCCCTCAACCCTAAACCCTGAACCGCGTGGCAAGGAATTTGGATAAAGCGTCAGCCAACGCCAACACCATCAGCCTCTTCAAGGATGGTCCTTCAGACGTCTCATGTTCAAACTCCTTAAAAGGGGGTTGTTTTGGGGAGTCTTTCGGGAACAGGAAAAAGAAAATGGAATCTACTATAATTACTATTTACTATAGTAGATTCCATTTTCTTTTTCATGTTCCCGAAAGACTCCCCAAAACAACCCTATATAATGGGGTTTATATTCGGGTTATATTGGGGATATATTGGGGGGATTTGGAAAATGGAAGAGAACATGGAAGCCACTATCTAGGGTTCAGGGTTTAGAGTTTAAAACTCCTTGAAGGGGGTTGTCGGTTTTCTCTGTACTATTGCTCTCACCCATTACTACTACAAGTACTGTGTACCACTAATTACCACCTTTTGCATGTTGCTCTTGCCTTGAAAATAGGTTTTGGAGTGTATCGGGCTTTCGGACCCTCCCTGGCTTCAATCCAACCCAAAGCACCTTGCAAACCCCAATCCTGCAGCGCATCCCTCCACACGCCACAATATAATCCCCATACAAGAGTTCCTAGACCCGAAGAACCAGAAATCCTAAACCTTGAGTTCGAAGGTCTTGATTGAGATCTAGTGCTGTGCTGCCCTAAACCCTAAACCCCCCAGCCCTACATGCTAAACCCCTAAACCCTAAACCCCTAAACCCCTAAACCCCAAACCCTGAACCCAAGGCTACCAACCTTGAGCCCGTAAGTATACGATGCAAACCTTGGATCTAAACTGGCACGCGCAAACGCCCTAAACTCTAAACACTATAAACCCCCCAAACCCATACCCGAAACGCGTGGCTTCGAATACTTTAGCACCTGCACTCCGAAGCCAAAAGCCTTGAATCCTAAACGTCCTAAACGCTAAATGCTCCATGGCATTCCAAGAAGGGGCCCCTAAAGTTTCAGAGCTTAGGGATCCGTCAGCCCTGCATATACTTATAAGTCAAATCAAGGGTTTCAGGCTTGTACCTCCAGGGTTGTACCCCTGAGTGTTGGTATCCTTTAAAGAGATCCTAAGGGACTGCATTGGCTCATATAAGGGGTACATTCTGGCTATATTGGGCATAACCTTGGAAACGCTGAATAATAGGTATATCTCCATGGATTCCTGTGCAACCCTTGTAAATACCACTCTCTCCTGGGAGCTCTTAATCCCAACCTCCCAAACCACATCCTCAACACTAGAGCTTGCGCCTTAAACTTCAAAACGTAAACCTTAGACGTTGGACCCTAAACCTTCAACCTCAAACCTTAAACCTCATATACCCTGAACCGTAAACCCTAGACCTTCAACCCGGGTTCTTTTCAAAGCCCTACATGAAGGACGGCAAGCGGGTATGCAAGCCACAGGCAATTCCTGCTGCCCTGCAAGGACGGGGGTCACAAAAGGATACGTTTTAGGGCTAAGGATTTTTGATCTCGGGTTGGGATGGGGTTCTGTAGAATGTTTGGGTTGATCCAGGACTTCTTGTGTAAATTTGGATTTCACAGGAGAAATAGCGCGGCTGCTTGGGTGTCTACACGGTATATAAAAGCTACATATGGCAATACCCTGCATGTCCCCATATAGCCTAAACTCGAAAGCTGCATTAAACTCTTTTTAAGGCGTAAACCCCGCGCCCTCTAAATCCCAAAACATGATATGTAAGCATACCCCCCCTGTAGATTCCTCCATTCCTCACATACTCTAAGCATTAAACCTTAACCCCTAAACCCTAAACCCTAAACCCCTAAACCCTAGACCCTAAACCCGTAAACCCTAAACCCTAAACCCCAAACCCCCGAAACCCCCAAAGCCAGGCAAAGTCTTGTATCCCACGGTGACCTATCGCAGCGTGGCCGTGGCTCTCAGCTTCGGCCCTCAGCCCGAAGCTCCTCTGCCTTTCACCTGCCACATGGCGCCTTGTCCGCAAGGGGCAAAGGGGAGTGTTTAGGGTTTAGGGTTTAGAGTTTAGGATTTGGGGTTTAGGGTTTAGGGTTTAGGGTGTTGGGGTTGGGGACGGGGGTGGGGATTGCGGAGGGGGGGGATTTGGGGGGGGGAGGGGATTTAGATGTATCCTTGCAACATACCCAAACCCTAAACCCTAAACCGCGTCATCACGTAAGGTTTCTCGCAGCTTATAGGGATGAT